TTGCGTGGTTGTCCCCTGCTAAAAAGCCTGTTGCAATGGAAAGGCGGGCGCCTGCGGCGGCCCCGGCAGTCAGGAGCTCTGATTCAGCGCAGGCTGGCAGGTTGTTTTGGGGCTGAGGGTTTTTTTCTGAAGCATGTTTTTTTCCTCCTCCTTGCTTGCTGCTTTTTTTTGCAGAAGTGGTGAGCGTGGGGCAGTGATGACCCGCAGGAGCCCCTCTCTGCCGCGGGACCTCAGTGGGCCGATGAGTGACGGCTTTCGGCAGGTTGAGAGCCCTTTTTCCGCTTCCACAGATAGCTTTTTCCACTCTCAGCAGTGGAAAATAGCACAAAGTGTGCCCGTGAGGAGCTGGCTCTCATGACCAAAGCAATCAAATTCCCCTCTCTGCTTTGCACCCTGCCTCTAATTCCTTTACTTTTTTTTTTTTTTCTTTTGTGATGCTTTTTTTATTCCAGCTCTTTCTTTGCAGCAGGGCTGGGATCCACCCTCCAGCCTTCTGCCCCATCCGTGGTATTTGACTCTCCTCCTCGGATTGAGGAGAACCGGGGTGCATCCAAAACACTTTTCCCAGCGCTAACAAAGCGGCACGGCTCTGGAAGCAGCCTCCTGTGCTGCAGCCATCCCCAGGACTTCACCTGGAGCTGGAACCAGAGCCCTGGGGAGGCAGCGGAGAGGTTTAATTTCAAAGGTCGGCTCAGGCAAATAGTTTTATTTACAGTTCTTTAGATTGTCCTGTTTGTTTCTCTCTGCCCACGCCAGCGGAGTGGGAAGGATAAACCTTCCCGGGAGAGGTGCAACTTAATAGGACTGAAGTCGGTGGTGAAGACAAGGATTCAGAGGTTAAATTTGCAGTTCCAGGAAACGTCTGTGTCAGTTTTTAGCTGGTGGAGGTTATAGCATGAGAAAAAAAAAAAATGTTAGGCTTTTTTTTTTTTTCCTCTTTAGGAGGAAATGGTTCCTTTCTTAGCATAAAGGATGCAGTTACGTGCCTGCAGCATCACGTGGGTTACAATCTCGTCCGCACCAGGAACTTCTGTCAGCTAATTTTCCCCTGCCCGTGTGCAAGGCGCTGTGCCGCGTGTCCCCATGGCCGGCAGCCCCTTCCGCTGCCCGGAGCACCGTACCGGCAGCGCCCGGCCGTCCCACGGGCTCGGGGCTGGCAGCAGAGCCCTGGGGCTTGTAGGGGGTAACTGGGAAATGTCCCCAAAGCACCTTGTCCTGCTGGTGCCTCTTTGCCTGCCTGGAGGGATCTCTAGAGGGGAGCTGTGTTGCTCTGTGCTCGCAGCCACCCCTCTTGCAAGAACCCAGTCCCCTGGGAAACTCGTGTGTTTCCAGGAGACACAAACTGCTCTTCACGCTGCAGCAATTCCTCCTGCGCTGACCCTACTGGGATCCCAAACTTGGGAAAGGCAGTGCCGAGGCCTTGCTGGTGAGGAGGAGCTGACAGCCGCTGCCTGCGGGGGCTAAAAGCAAATGCTGCCCTGGGATGTACTCGGGACAGAAGGGCTTGAATTGCAAGGTCTTGTCATGCCCATCCCACTGCCTTCTTCTTCCTCCCACTTTATTTTTCTCCTTCCCCACCCGGAGTCCTTCCTCCACCCTCACTCACCCTGAAACAGCGCGTGGGCTTTCCCGGGGGGGCTGCAGAGGCTCAGGAACGAGGTCACCTCCCGGGGGGTGATGCATCCAGCTCTGGGGTTTGCAGCGGGCAGCCCCAGCCTCCGGGCGCTTGGGGGGCGATGGCTGGGCTGTGCAACAGCGGGGAGGCTGTGCCGTGCCCCCATCTCCCACCTCTGGGCTCTGCCTGCCCCGAGAAGGCTGTGCAGAGCTTCAGGGCAGGGCTCTTGATCTTTTCTTGTTTTTTTTTTTTTTTTAATTTTATTTTTTCTGGGCTGTGCTCAAGGGGAAGTGGTGCCTGCCCACTCAACCTCTGCCCAGCCAGACCCACGCTGCCGCTGCAAGCAAGCGGGAGAAACTTGCAGCAAGAAGCAAGAGTTCAGACCAGCCTGCAGGGTGCTGGAAGGCTCGTGGCACATTTTGGGAGAGCCCTAACAGGCGAATCCAATCTCCGCCTCTGCTCCCCTGGCTGCAGGGCAGCATCATGGCTGATTTTACTCCTGCAGGCATGGGCTGAGCTGGGTTTTCCACTGGCGTAGGTGGCCCAGCCAGAGCCTGGGAGTGGTGGCAGAATATCTCTGGTGCTTTTTCAGGTTGGAGCTAGGAAATGCATTTTGGGGCTAGGCGTGACAAGATGGGAAGGGGATTGGCACTGACCCTGGCAGTATGATGCTGGGAAGTGAAGGGCACCAGATTGGGGGTACAGGAAAGCGGGCTGATGTGCAGCACCCCCTGTTATAGCAGAGTGCACGGGGGGGTGACCGATGCACAGAGACGTTAAATGACTCTCCTGTATGGTGGAGGGGGTTTGTAATGGGGGATCCACCCCATCCTGTGCTGCCCCTCTAACCCGTGCTTCCAAATCCTCCTGCCTGTGAGTCTGGGCTCCACCAAACAACGTGCCCCATTGATTCTTGACCCCGGGTTGGGTGCTCCCAGCTCCCTCTGGCCCAGCTCTCGCAACCAGGGCTAAGGAAGGGCTGACGCCACAGCCTGTGGGACGCCTGGCTCAGGGAGCGTGTGGACCCTGCTCCTGCCGCGTGAGTCACCGAGCTGCGGCCGGCGCTGCCAGGGGAGCCGGCGGCACAGAAGGCGCTTTGTGCTGGCTGCAGGATTGCTATGGCAATTGGGGAGAGGGAGAGCAAACACATTAAGCAAAATACCAGCCGGGATGGGGGGTGTGTGTGTGTTTTCTGGGGCTTCATGTAGAGGTCTGGCCGGTAACTGCCTGGGGGGGGCTGTGTGCAAACTGCTGTCTGCGTTTTGGAGCAGGTCATGGGGGAGAAACACTCGGTGCAAAGCTCTGGGTCAGCGGTGAGCTAAATCCATCCCTCTGGATGGGATGCGATGTGTGCCCATGGTGAGTTCCCCAAATTGCCTGGGTGCAGAAGGGCTCTGGGGACCGCAGTTCTTAGGTTCTGTCATCAGCCCCCCCCGCTGAGTAGCAAGAGGCTGGGTGTGGGAAGGGGAGGCATTTCTGAACCCGTGGGCGGCATCTTTCCTTTGGCTCAGTTTTGCGCTTGCTCCTGTTGTTGCTCAACCAGGTATTTTGCAAAGTCTCATCAGTGGGCACGCTGAGCTATTGATAGTCCCCCTTCCAGCCCTGCTGGGTGGGTGATGGGGGAAGGAAACTTTGCAGACTCACGAATTAAAGCTGTGATTGCCGTGACCTGGTCAGGTCTCCAGAGATGGTTTCCAGCCAAGTGGGATCAGTTTGGGGTGGAGCTGCTTGCCGGCTGGTTTCATTGAGCTGGGAAGTTCACATCGCTCCCGTAGCTCACAGGGACTGTGCTGGTCCCAGACCTTATGGGCTGGCTCTGATGCAGGAAAGGTGGCAGGTAAGATGGGGATATGGGCTGATCCGTGCCAATTCCCTCAGCAGGGAGGGATGCTGCTGGTCCCACATCTGGGACCTTTGCAGTATCTTGCAGACCGTCTTTCACCTGCAGCCTCAGCAAGGTTTGCATTTGGGGAGGGACAGGACTGGAAAAGTGGGTTTCAGGCACCCGTCTTAGCTGGGGCATCTGGAGCTGGTGGGGGACAGGGATGAGGACGGGGACTGGGTGTGCTGGGAATGTCCTGGACACGTATCGACCTTGCCTCGCTGCTGTGGGAGCTCTTACATGGTGCT